TTCTGTTATGTTGGTGGCTAAAATTGGTGGAATTTATTGGTGGTACCAGACTCTATCACACCCTGCTGAACTTACTGCTGGTTACTACAACACTGCCCTCAGAGATGGCTATGATCCAGTCGTCTCAGTGTTGTCTCGCCATGGAGCTGCTTTGCATATTCCGTGAGATATCATCACTATCTAGTTTTTTTTTCCATTTTTTAGTTTTTTTTTCTTATATACCTAGATAGGTTTTTGTTTGGTTGGGTTTCCCTTTCTAAAACTTTCAGCAAAATGCATTATTCATTTAATGACTGAAAATAGTAATTTTTGGGGTAAACTGATACTTGCCTGTGAAATACAGTGGACTGATCAATATACAAGGCTGTGAATCTCCTGGAAAACCCATCGTGGAATCTCCTTAATGAATTTTTTTCTTATAGAAGTTTGGAATCAGTTTGTTCCTTCCTTTTTGCAGATTGATCGCATCTTGAAGTTAAAGTTTACCACATGTAATATTTTTTTTGATAGGAATAGTAGGTCTCGTTAAAAACCTCCTTCTTAGTAGTCATTTACCATTAGGCAAGAACCGACTAGCGGAAGGAGGAAAAGAGTACCTCAATATATTGATTATAAATGAATTACATAAGACTTAAAAACACTCCTAGAAGATACATAATACTTAAACACACTCTAATAAGACCCTTGCTGTAAAACCTCTGAACCCACTAGAACAAAGAAAAGCACTACCCAATTCCCTCCTTTGCTAGCTTATCAGCTTCGCAATTACAGCTTCTCGGAATCCACCTCACAATGACCTCATTCTCAGAAACAATAGACACAATATCCTTAACAAAATTTAAAAGAAAAGTAGGAACTGAATCCTGAACTTTCATCCAATCCACAGCTAGCTTGCAATCACTTTCAATAATTAACCTTCCCTTCACTACCCATTCTGATGACACAAAGAAGTCTAAGCCTCTTTTGATAGCTTTCAACTCTGCTAAAATGATAGGAGTAGGACCTACTTTTTCTGAAAACGACATAAGCTTATTCCGATTCCAATCTCTAAGGATTCCCCCGATTCCAGCTAACATCCCAACACTACTAACAGCTCCATCCACATTCAACTTGAAAAAATCGACTGGTGGAGGACTCCAGCAGACCACATGTTTACCACATTTAATATAGATGTTTAGGGAATAGCAAGCATCAATAATTGTAGTTTGCCCTGTTTTTTTGGTTGCATGCATATTGGTTTTAGATATTTAGCCATTTCCTTCCTGCATTTTCATTTCTATAGCTTATCTTGCAGCTGCTTAGAGATGATGGACAGTGAAACCCCACCAACCTATCTCTGCAGCCCTGAAGGATTACTGAAACAGGCATGAGTTCTGTTTATTGACAAAATTTTCTTTTCTTCTCTGACTTAGAATTTTGTGATTTTAGACGTTGCAATTTTAGCTGTTTAAATATGCAAATTGTGTTATTCGTTTACCTGAATTTATTTTGTAATATATTAAAAATAGTTTGTGGTAAAACATTTTGGCATTTCCCTTTATGCCTATAGAGACCTTCAATTTGTGTATTCTTCAGGTATTTTGTCATGTCATAATTTTGTTAGGTATTATATATGCTTTAATAGTACTTTTTATGTAGATTCTGAGACATACATGTATTTGTCTGGAGTCTTTTTTTCTTCCCCCTGCTGTGTGTTGTTTATGGTCATATTTTAGTTATTTTTCTGTGTCATGTCAATATTGGCAAGATTTATGTGATGCTATTTTAAGTTACTATTTAGCTGAATTAATTTACATGGGTAGCCACTCCCCTCAAAAGAAAAGAGAAGATTATATTGTATTATCTCCAACGTAGCTGAATTAGTTTACGAGTGAAGCTTCTCACCATATGCCCCCTCAAAAGAAAAGAGATAATATTATATTGTTATATCTCCATATTTTTGCAACGAGTGAGCTTGAATATGTGTTATTTTTTAGGGCTTAATGGGCTAATACTTGAGGCCTAGTTCTTTTCCAGACATCATGTATGATTATGAAATCTCTATGACATGTATAGAAAACAGCTGGTTGCATGTTGTAAGAAAATTTAAAGAAGTTGTTTAAGACTATATTATATGTGATTTAACCACCAAAAGAATGAATGCTAGATGCAACTTGTCTCACCAGCCATTCCTGTGCCAAAACTTTTTTTTTACCTTCTGACTTTCGATGCAGATGCAGTCTGTTTCAAAGAAAAGGATAGTTAACTTGATTGGAAGAAATACGACCGAACGACTTGACAAGGTAAATATCATTCTATCTTAACACACTCTTGTCTTCCTTTAGCTTAACAATAAGATTCGGTAATTTAATTGTTTTTTTCTGGTAATGATCAATATGGTACTTGTGATAGCTTTTAACTCCCAGGTGCGTAGTTAGTCTATAGCTTTATCTAGTTCAGTCCTTTTCCTTTCTTGGTTCCTTTAAACTTTCTTTTGTATTTTCTTTACTAGAATAACTCATTTGCTCTCGTGCTCTTTTAAATTCTCGCAGACTGGACTATGGAAAATCCGTTCGAACTGTTACAATCCCCAAGCAGAAGTTGTAAGATCATTTACTTATTTCAGAATGACTGATAGCATATTTAGGGTTGAAAATTGGAATAACTTTGTACCTTTTGTCAGAATGATGAGCACAGATTTGTAATATACTGTTCCAAACTCACCATTTTACTAAGCTCATTAAGATATCCCTGCCCCTACTTTATTTTTTTCTCCACACTGGGGAGTGGAACGGGGCAATTGCAGAAGCTTTTGTGCCTGCGTTATATACCTAGTTAGTACATCCTTTTCTCATTAATGCCCACCTTTGAAATTTTGTTAGATGTTGGAAAATAAATCTAAAGATTGTCAAAAGTTTCATCTAAATCTTAGGAAGCTAAAATCGTATGGAAAAAGGTAGAAATTTGGTTGGTTAGATATTAATGCCTGTGTCCCATTTCACAACTTAGAGCTATGCTGCTTTGGGTTTTCAATATCTGAAGTATCCTTACCAACACCTGTATCTGACATATATTCGGACATGAGTATGGGGATATGACCCTCCAAGGACTTATCAAGCACATGGAAAGACAGAAAAACTGGAGATACCCATACCGGATACATTCCCGTATCTAACACTAACACTCGAGTTTGAGTAATATAGACTTAGAGTTTGAGCAACATACTCTCTTCTCCTCAAGGTGTGAAAAAAAGGCACCATGAAGCTCGTAGATTGCATTTGTAAAGAGGTTGATGTACATGGTATACAAACTTAGATCAGTTATTTTAGGAGAGAGATTCCATGGAATTGCACCTTTTAATAAAGTTTTTGCTTGTTTTCTTAGGCCACGTTGTGCTATAACTCATTCTCCATGTTTATGTTTTTTTTGGTAAATTTGAAGGTGCCAAGTGTCATATTTCTGTAGTCCAAATCTATGTTGCTACAATTCTTCATTTTTCTGAAGTACCTACCTGCATCGAACATATATTCATATCCGACACTCACATCCAAGTCCAAGTAACATAGGTCCAAATAGAATCGACGATTTTAGTACTTGGTATAGCTACATCTATAGGATTGTTTTCTAATTCTACGAAGATATCCAACATTTACGCCTGAATCCGATCGTCGTAGGCCTAAATAAAATGCATGGTGCTAAGTCTAGTATAGGAAACATTTAGGTAGAGAAACTTGCATTATCTGCTGAATCGTTTTCTAGTGCTACGAAGATATTCCCTTGGCTACATCTCTACTTCGTTGTACAGGCTGTTATAGGTGAATGCTATGCTACCTACGAACCATGACTTGGCCACGGAAATCAGAGTCTAAAAGTTTATTTAGACTTTGAATTATTTTTGAAGTTTATAAAGTTCGAAAATATTTTTAGATTTATTTATTATTTCAAAATATTAAAGTTGAAATTAAACATTTATAATTTTTTAATAGAAGCAGCTAGTATTATTAAAAGATGAAAATATTCAAAATTACAATAGAGTTTACAACTATAATCGTAAATTAAATACATAATTTTGACATTTTCCTATAATATTGAAACTGATCACTTTAGATCATATAAGAATCATATAGGAAAAGGTTAAAAACCCAACCAAAAGACTTGAACAAAAATAGATATGAACAAATCTGATTACATAGGTAAACGAATTACAAAATGGAATTAAGTTATTGAAGACTACCGAAAATCGCAAATCAGAATTGAGCATCATGAGTAACTATCTACTAACACAAAATCGCATCCAAATTTAATCCAAATGTCCATAACAAGGAAGATCAACGATATTTCAAATAAACGTCATCTTAATAAGTAGTTGTCGTCAAATCCAACCTTAAGAAAACATAAATAAAATAATGACCAAACGATCGAGAAAGAAAAACGTACCACAAAGATAGAATTAACGTACCACAAAGGTAAAATAAACGTGTCACAAAATAAAATTATTCTTATTAAAAAAATAAATAAAAAACAGAGAGGAGAACTGGTGATCGGCAACTAATATCAAAACTAATATGTATACGGCTAAATAAAATCAAATAAAAAATTGATATGATCTATAAAAAAAACATAAAAAAGAAGAAAGAAACACACAAACTTTATTGTTAATGTCCCTCAATTCGAGAATAATTAGTCAACTGATACTTAGATACTTGGGAAAGTGAGTAATGATCCTATAATAAATTATATGAGAATGATCTTTTAACGTGCAAAATTTTATGGGTTTTTTTAAAATAACCATAATACAATTAATCAAAAATAGCGTCAAATACAATTAATCAGCAATACAAGGATGTTACAAATTTAAAATTTTAAGAATGGCCTAATACGAGAGAAAAATATAATTGACCGAATCAGTTTGGGTTCATTCGAAAAACTTCGAATTCAAACTCTGTTATCGTTTTGTTGAGTATTCCGAACTATTGAATGAATCAAATTCGATGTCGAATAATTGACTTTAACAGTAATGGTGATCAAGTTCAATCCATAGCTCAGATATAGATAAGAAACTGGAATTGTTGCACCTATATCTATGAAAACAAAACACTAGCAAGTGAAAGAAATGTTTCTTTCGATCAACAATGATCTTTTACATATAAGAATTAACGATTACTAACCCGATCTGTTAGTCGGTAATCATTTCTCATCTGATTTCAGGTAGAGATGCTGTTTTCCGATATAATCGATCACTTCATCTATGGTCAAATATTTTATAGACAATCCTCTTGAAATGCATTCCCTGGAACAAAAATGGATCTACATCAAAACTAGACTGGAAAACGAAGTTGAACATTATCTAAACACCCCTAAACCCACTACTATTTACCTCAATCTAGTTGAACTGATTTGGTTCGGGACAAGTTCATCGACTATTTTAATGTTATCCTGAAAGAACGAAAAAAATCAAATGAGCCACAATCGATGAGATGCACCTTAACCCCGAAAGATATTGATTTGCTTTGTATGAAAAACTGGAAAGAAATGAGAAATCCACGAACCCGGTTTTCATTCAAAATCTCATCACCACTGATGATTTTTTCCAAATCTTGTCCTTCTCTACGAATGCAAACCACGCCGTAATCTTTGCATATAGCTCTAACCTGAATTTTGATCCAAAATCCCGAGGTTACCTTAATACATCATGCTAGAGTATGCTCTACGTATTATATTTAGACAGAACGATATAGCATTAATGTCCTTATCTTCCTTTAACACCGATACAATAGTAGAAAATAATAAGCAAATACCTGCTCAGGGATCCAAAAGCCGGGAATGCTGAAAGATTGAAGTAAATCAGAACCACAAACAAGCATGACTTTAAGGGATTCTGCGAAACGACAGAGATATCATTATTGTATCTCCGCCGTTGGAGGAACAATGAGAAAACTCACATATAAATAGTATTAACAGAATCTAATCTTTCAATTTAATAAATTATCAACACATTCTGGCAAACTGATTATAATGTGTGGTTATATATATAGAATATTGTGCATCGATGAGTATCTGTGAAACGTATAAAGTGATGAAATAATGTAGTTAAAAGTTGCCGCTTGCATACCCTTACGTATCAATCCACCCTCCGCCAAGAAACTCTTGACTCGATTCAGGACGGTTAGAGACCGCTGAAAAGAGCTTTGTTTTGCCTGTAAAAGAGAATGAGATTAACAAAAAAAAAACACTACTTTGCAAATGCAACAGATATTCCTCACAATTCAACTCCAGTTTTCCAAAAAAATGCAAAACAAAATCCGGAGAAAGAGAAGTAGCACCTCCCAAGGATCGACCATGATAAAGTCGGAACTTTTGCAGGCTAGGTTACACATCTCGATACGATGTTCAGAAGCTACAAGGCCCTGCATCATCATCATCAAAGATACTCAGGCAGAACTAGATAACACATGTAATTAGCTATTGCCGTTATCCACTAATTTGCTAACATTTTTGGATTATTGGCCGGTGCACCAGAGATCAAATTCTATCGAATTCCGGCAAACAAATTATTCACCATTTTCTAGATGCTAAAGAATAACAAAACCAAGTTTATAAGAAAATTTGTAGATTCTACCATTAGTGATTCATTCTTGGATATCAAATCTATGCAAAAGTAATTGAATTCTATCAAATTCAGCAATCAAATTGATGGATGTTTCGAGTTTCAATATAAACATCAGAAATCAAAACTTTGATCATTTCTCCAGAAGCAAATGAATCAAAAAAATGAAAATTGTAATTCTACCATCAATAGTTCAGTAAAAGGAAAAGAAAAACTAACCCTTTTCTTGTAAGCATCATTTACAGGAGACATATAGCCTCCTATAACACAAAACCCATTTGAATTCAACGTATCTCGAGCCAGTTCTAACCATTAACATTAAAAAAAAGAATCAAAACCCATAGAAAATGAAAAAAAAGAAAAAAAAAAAACTTACCAAACATGCGTAAGTGCATCAAAGTAGGAGGATTGAAGCTTCCAGTAGCTACTAAGACTACATATATTTTGTCCTCACTTTGATTAAATTAAAAAACATATAAAAATCAAGAGAAATTAATATATCAATAAAATTAGAGAATTTGAACTGAAAAAAAAATTGGAAGAGAGTAACTTACTTGTTTTCTGATGGTAGAGATAGTTTATCCAAAGGCAATGGGATTTCCATTCCAAGAATTTTTTTTTGCAGTAGTTTTAATAAAATTCTGGAAAAAAGGAAAAGAAAAGCACAGTTTTGTAGAATTAAAAATTCAATGGACTTGGAGAAAACGCAGAGAGGAAAACAAGGGAGAAGAAGCTGATTCCGATTACAATCGTGTACAAAACGACAGCGTGTGGCTACAATCGGGTTTAGGATAAATTGAGGGATGTAATAATACCCCTCTCTTTATATTTGGGCAAGGATGATGTGGTTTTTTAATATAATCACTGATTTTTATTATTTATATATATTTTTAAATTAGTTATATTTTTAATAAAATTAATTATTTAATTGAATAATGTCATGTATCACTGATGTTATATGTCGTGTCATACGTGTCACTATTCAATTAGAAGATTAATTTTATTTTATTTTTAATATATTTTTATGTTAAAATATTTTAAAGTTAAGATAAAAATAAAATGTATTAAAATAAAATAAAATTATTCTTACAACCGAATAATGACGTGTTAAATGTGACACCAGTAACACGTGCCATCTAAGTGAAAAATTAAATTTATTATAAGTATGATTAAATTGAAAAATATATATAAATAGCACGTATTAAATGTGACTTTTTAAGCGTTGTCGTTCCTTGAGTATTCCCCAGATCGAATTAGTCTTTACAGAATTGGGCAAAGGCAAGTTCATTTAGCTTTTCAACTCTCATATTTTTACGGGAAACAATGAAGTATGCATCATATCAAAATGAGAAATTACCATAAAAAAAACAGAGATGATGAAAGAAAATTACAGAAGTCTAATGTAAATCCAACTACTTTCATCTATGGGTCTTCTCAAAATCCCATTTTTCAAGTACCCATTAACCAAAACATTGTAAGGAAGAGAAGATACCTGGAAAGCAAGGACGAGGGATGGCAGCTATGAAAGAAGAGAACGACGCGTGGTGGTGGAGCTTGGTTTTGAGGAAGTCGAGAAGGTTTTGAGATTAAGGGTTGATAGTTATTGTCACCGTGAAAATATTGTGTCCGTTTGTCTGCCGCCGGAATAGTTATCGCCACTAAGTAGTGGTGGTTACTGGCGTGGCTAGCCCCCGTTGGAAGGCTGCTAGGGCAGCGACGGATGCATTAAACTCCCAATGGTCAAGTGCATCCTCGTTATTTTGAAAAAATAATTAAATTTAATTTAATATGTTAAAAAAAATATATTTTTGTATACCCATTATTTTAAAAAATAAAACTAAAATTTTAGATCTCATTCTTAAATTTCTAGATCCACAATTGTATTGAGGTGTGACTGAAGACTTTTGGTTGTGTTCTTTACTGGGGAATTGAATTTGAGTAATATTATTTAGGGCATCCTATATATATTTTTTAATTATTTTCTTTGTTTTACCTATTTTTTTAATGATTAAAAAAATATTTATTCATATTATACAAGAAATTGCAAAGGTATACGAATACCAAGTTCGAGCATATTATCCAACAGCCTACCAAAATATGTACAACAACACAGCATATGTATATGCAAAATGAGTAAAGATTGTGTTTGATGGTGTGCAGGCAGGGAGAACTGTGACCGCAACAATTCACCAGTCATCGAGCCAAATGTTTCATCATCGCGATTCATCCCGGAAATAGCAATGAATCTGGCCGAGTTCTAGCTAGATTTAGCGACTGGCCGAGTTAATGGAATAACACTGCCTGAAGATCTAGTGGCATCTCAAGGAAGGGATGATTCCCAAAGGGCTGTAATCTCTTCTTGGATAACAAGTTAGTGAATATTTAATCCATTCCTTTGTTTGATCATCTCCCTCTCTCAACATTTTTTCTTTACATCATATCGGCATCTTCAAGTGTAAAACTCATCTATAGCCAAAGGAAAAGGAAGAGAACCATCGAAGTACCAAGGCGCCGAAGCCCCAAACATCTTTGAATGGCTATTAAAGTTAAGAAAGAGTGGACAATAAGGAAGAGAACCTTTCGAGAGAAACGACAGGATTACTTCGATGACCTCAGATTACTACAATCATTAGGAGTCGCGGTCTTGCTGGGTCTTCTTTGGTGGAAATCCAGTGTTGCAACTGAAGCTCAGTTGAGGGATCAGGTAACATTTCCGGAACTTCATTTTACAATCTTCGATTCGGATTACATCTGCATTTCACTCTTCTATTTTTAGAATGTCCTGCTATTCTACATCTCATTTTTCGGACATCTTCGTTGGTTTTTGGTTCCATATATGTTTTCCCTTTCGAAAATGTTTATTTGGTGAAAGAAAGGAAAGCAGACATGTACAGCTATGTGTTGCACTCTGTGTGACATGGTAGCGCATGTCATTTGATTATTCCTCACATTGTTTACCGTCTTACTGATAGCTGTCATAAGCCAAGTAAGCCAAGAGATTTCAGATATATAACATCCTTTGCTTTAAATAATCGAACACTTCTTCAACTAATGTGATCTTCAACTTGACAAATGACAAAAAAGGGGAGCAGGAGGGCTATTTGGAGCTGCCGTTTTGAGTATTAAAAGGGCAGGGATGATGGCCTCTCTGGTGGTGGTGTCGTTTCTTCTCACCAGAGGTTACTATGTCCAGGTACTCAAAACTACTATGAAAATTGGTTTCGATTATTCATCGGACGAGTTCGCTTAAGACCTTGCTTTCTTTTGCAGCATATACCAAAATTTATGCGTCCGCTTAAGAACATTGCATTGTTTTGCAGCATATACCAAAATTTTTTTGGTGGATGAAGTACTGTTGCTCATGTACCATGGCTATAGGCTTCTAGTGAAAATGCATTACACCGGGGACCAATTGTGTGAATGTCGAAGCAAAGACGGATGTCGGACTACACAGAATTCACCATCGTTCGACACGGTTAACCTGAATGGATGCTTGCAAGAAGTCTGGAATTTACTATGCCTACCGGTTGTGTGCTTACGTTTGCCTGTGCAAAAGAATTAGTTCACGTCATATTTGAGCAGATTCTACATTGCTGATAAACATATGTAACAGAAGACAGTATAAGCTTGAGGAGCCTTGATTACTACTTTACAGGTACCTTACGAATACCGAGAATGTATTAGTGACCATTTCATAAAATTCAAGAAGTTCAATGATTATTTTGAAACTATAAAAACTTTAGAGACCAAAGAAACCATTTCAGCATATATTAGAGGCCATTTTTGTATTTTTAAAATGAAAATTATGGGCTATGGATGTTTTGGTTATCTGCCAGAGCCACAAATCAGAGAAACAAACACATTTATCATTCAAGATCGTCACCAAAAGTAACCAACAAAACCTCCAAAATGAGGCGCCTTACAAACTGAAAAACAAAAGCTAAAGGGTCGTTCAGAAATGAAATAAAACAACTGATATTAGAACATGCCAAGCTTAGTCAACTTCCTCCATCTTGCTGCCTTCAGCATCGGCATCCTCCAAGGGGGGCATGTCTGCATCGGCTTCAGCTTCACCTGCATCCTCATCAATGCTAAGACCGAGTTTGAGCATCCTGTGGATTCTGTTGCCAAAGGTGTTAGGGTCATCGAGACTGAAACCAGAGGTAAGGAGAGCGGTTTCAAAGAGGAGGAGAACGAGATCCTTGACGGATTTATCATTCTTGTCTGCATCCGACCTCTTTCTCAGCTCCTCCATGATGGGATTCTCCGGGTTGATCTCCATTGTCTTCTTGCTGGACATGTAACCGCCCATGCTGCTATCCTTTAGTGCCTGCGCCTTCATGATCCTCTCCATGTTGGCAGTCCAACCGTACTCGCCTGTAACCAAACAGCATGGAGAATCAACCACACGGTCAGAAACAACAACCTTCTCAACCTTGTCGCCCAAGACATCCTTTATAACCTTGCAGAGACCCTCAAACTTCTCCTTCAATGCTTCCTTCTTTTGCTTCTCATCCTCACTCTCGTCGAGTTTCAAACCTTCCTTGGTAGCAGACACAAGCTTCTTTCCCTCAAATTCTTTCAGCTGCCCTACAGCATACTCATCAATTGCATCGACCATATAAAGGACCTCATAGCCCTTCTTCTTCAGCTTCTCAAGGAAGGGAGAGTTCTCCACAGCTTTCTTACTCTCACCAGTGATGTAATAGATTTCATTCTGACCCTCCTTCATTCTGGTCACATAGTCCTTCAGGCTCGTCATCTCTTCACCACTCTTGGTGGAGTGGTAGCGGAGCAATTCAGCAATCTTATTCCTGTTCTGAGAGTCTCGTGGATACCAAGCTTTAGGTTCTTGGAGAAAGCCTCGTAAAACTTGTTGTAATCTTCCTTGTTCTCGGCTATTTCAAAAAAGAGCTCAATGCACTTCTTCACCAAGTTCTTGCGGATAACCTTCAATATCTTGTTCTGCTGCAACGTTTCTCTGGAGATGTTGAGAGGAAGGTCCTCCGAGTCAACAATACCCTTCACAAAGCTGAGGAACTCGGGAATCAACTCCTCACAGTTGTCCATGATAAAGACACGCCTGACATACAACTTGATGTTGTTGGGCTTCTTCCTTGTGTCGAAGAGATCAAAAGGAGCTCGCTTGGGAACAAAGAGGACAGCCTTGAACTCAAGTTGTCCCTCAACCGAGAAGTGTTTGACGGCCAAATGCTCTTCCCAGTCATTTGTAAGGCTCTTGTAGAAAGCAGCATAATCTTCCTTGGTAATCTCCTCCGGCTTCCTCATCCAAATGGGCTTCTGTTTGTTCACCAAAGACCATTCATGCGAGACCTCCTTAATCTTCTTCTTTTTCTTCTCTTCCTTCTCCTTCTCCTCATCAACATCCTCAACTTTACCTTCTTCATCCTTCTTTTCCTCCTCATCCTCGTCATCAGAGATCTCCTTCTCGATAGTCTTCTCAGTCCAGAGAGAAATGGGATAGCTAATGAATTCAGAGTGCTTCTTAATCAAGTCCTTCAGACGGCGCTCTTCGAGGTACTCAAGCTGGTCCTCTTTCAAAAAAAGAGTGATCTTAGTACCCCTTCCAAGATTCTCCCCAGAGGTATCTCTGGTGATAGTGAAAGAGCCACCAGCTTGGGATTCCCATACATACTGCTCATCATCGTTGTGCTTTGAGGTAACGATAACCTTCTCGGCAACCAAGTAAGCCGA